AGCAATACAACGCAGTTGACTTCAGCAAACTTTATCGATGCCTGGATGAATATCCTAAAAATCATGAAGACGTAGAGTATGATAAATTGGCAGGGAAACTGAAATCCTGTTTAAATAAGTGCAGAATCACAAAATTTAAAACATTGAATCCTCCGCGGCAAGACTGGATTAAAAAAGAACTATTAGAAGAGATAAATAGCAAGAACATATTATGGCAAAAATATAAAACAAATGCGGTGGACACGAAATTAAAAGCAGAGTACGAACATATTAAAGCAAGAGTATCACACAATATAAGAAAAGCGAAAAGTGAATATTATCTGAAGAGGTTTGAAGAAAATTCTAGTAAACCACGAAAAATGTGGAGACTTATAAATGACTTAGCTAAAAACAAAGTGCATGACAGACCTGGACCAGACAAACTTGAAACGGCAGCTGGTACTATTACGGACAAAAAGAAATATGTGAAAGTTTTAACTCATATTTTTCGACTATTGGCTCAACCCTAGCAAATATGATTTCTAAAAAATCAAAAGTACCTCAGATTTTAGAAGAGTGTAGTCTAACTGATAGAACAGAATTGCGATTTCTGAAACCAGTAACCATGAAAGAAGTTATTACCATAATTAAAAATTTGGACTGTAACACTGCATCTGGCATTGATGGTATTAGTACAAAATCAATTAAATGCGTAAAAGACATTATTGCCACGGAACTAACAGTCTGCATTAACTATCATTTGGCACGAGGTATTTTTCCCAACGAGTTAAAGGTTGCAAAAGTTGTTCATAAAGCCGGAAGTAAGCTTGACCCGTGCAATTATCGCCCTATATCAGTTCTCCCAGTGCTTTCTAAGGTCTTTGAGAAGATTCTTTATAACCAATTAGAGTCATTCCTTAATTCAAAAGGTTTCTTTTACCGAAAACAATATGGCTTTAGAGCTCAATCAAATACTCTCGCTGCCACAATTGACCTCGTAACCAAAATTAAAAATAAAATTGATCAAAAACAAGTTGCCTTAGGTATATTTATCGATCTAAAAAAAGCCTTTGACACCATTAGTCATGAAAAATTATTACAAAAACTAAAACTTACCGGTGTTACAGGCAAAGCACTTGAAATTTTTAAATCATATATGGAGAACCGAAAACAAATAGTAAAAATAGGTGAATATGAAAGCAATTCCTGTATTCTGAATTTTGGCGTTCCCCAGGGATCAATATTAGGCCCCCTCATGTTCCTCATTTATATTAACAGTATCAGTGATTTGGGTCTCAAAGGTGACATCTCCCTTTATGCAGACGACACAAGTCTCTTTTACTTTGGAAACTCGATCGAAGCTCTAATAGCCGACGCTCAAAATGATCTTAATCTGTTGAGTGGTTTCAATCAAATCTTTTAACTATTAATATTACAAAAACAAATTATGTTATTTTTGCAGCAAAAAATAAAAAAATAAATAATAATGTCGAACTTAAAATAGACGGAAAAATACTTGAACGAAAACCTAAAGAAAAATATCTCGGACTTATTTTGGATAGTAACCTAACTTGGAAGCCACATCTAGAAAAAATTAAACTTAAACTAACTCCGCTCACAGGGGCACTGCGAAACATAACAAATTGTCTCCCACAAAAAGTGCGGTATCTGATCTATAATTCTCTGGTTAAGCCTCATGTCGACTACCTCATTGAGGTCTGGGGTACTGCAGCAAAGAGTAATTTGGAAAATTTGAAATTAATTCCAGAGAACTCTGAATAGATTGATTAAAAACTTATTTAACTATAAACTTCGGACGCCTACTGAAAGGATATACGAGGAAACAAAATTAATGAATATTAAACAAACGTACACATACTACACTTGTATTCTAGTACGCAAAATATTAAATAGGGAAATTAATTCTAATTTAAAATTTTTAACCAAACAACAAACACGAAATACTAACTTAAGACGTGCTAGTTACTTGGTGACCCGCCCTCCTAGAACTAACTATGGCAAAAGAAGTCTGGAGTATGAGGGTGGTACAATTTATAATAAGTTACCATCAGTTATAAAAGCAGAACAAAATTATGCCCGATTTAAAAAGCTTCTAAAAACTTACACATTAATTACATACAAATAAGTGATTAAAATATAATCGGTCTTACTAATAAAAAATCACTATGCATGAGTTATAACAAGGTGATAGTTATTCAGTGAATAGAGCTTGTACAGGGCATAAACACCTCTTTGACCAATAATCGATGTGTATTGGTTGAATAACTAAACGACCCTTATTTATTGTTACCCTGGCAACCCGCCGTGTTTGATTGACGTTTGACTTAATAATTCTGATAGAAGTCATAATTCTAATGTAAGTTGTATTTATTTTAGCAACCAAAACAATTATATTCAGACAAAGAGGACTAGAATTTTACATAAAAAGCCACGTTCTGCAGTACAAAAGTTGGGAGAGGTTAGTATCAATGTGATAGAGAAAAGGACTATTTCATTCAAAAGCCCTCAACGATCATACTTAAATTTTTTAGGCATCTCAAATAGTGGAAAGTGCCAAACTCCGCAACACGGCAGTGTTCCAGTGTTTGCAGGAAGAGCATGAAACCAAACTAAGGCAAATGGCTGAAACACATGAGCTCAAACAGAAGCAACTTGCCGAAGCTCACAAATGGTCTAGACAGGAGCATCTTCTAAGGCTCAAACTATTACAGCAGCAATTAAATGAATAATTATATACTTATAAAAAAAATAAAACCCCTGTTTTAAATGAAATATAACTTTTTATTTATTTCACGTCTAACTATCCACACCTAATTGTATGTAACTAAAACAGCTTTAAAAATATGTTTCAATAAAAGCAGCTCTAGCAGCTTGTCCAGCCTGATTGCTTGGGGGCGTCTAGGTTGGCCTTGGTTCTTCTGGAGCATTCTCAGTGTCATCATACGTAACATCCAAGTCTTCTTTCATATCAATAGCAATATTGTGGAGGATTGCCAGTGCTACTATATATAATTTGGCATTTTCTAAAGACACTGAGAAGCCATGAAGAAGACACCTAAATCGAAAACCATCCACCTCTATTACTCTTTTCGACATCAGCTCGCACTGTCACAGATCTTCATAATATACTTCTTTGAAAAGCGGTATTTTGTTTTGAAATCGCCATCCGAAAGTAATAACGGATTGCACCGAGTTTGGTATGTTTTGACTTTCCTTGGAGGCGGCAAATCTTCAATCGTATGTATTAGCTGCATATCAATATTATCTAAATCTTCCATTTGATCTATAAAATCTATTTTCAACAAACACAAATACCTACTAACTTAAATCTTTCCTTGAACTAAACAGTCAAAAAATGCTGTCAAACGCGAAATCAGATCAAATAACGCAATTTATGTCCTATACACCCGTTAAACTAGGCCTCGGCGTTGTATAAGCATTGTACAAGTCTTCATACAAACCAGACACTTGTTATAACAGCCGTATACATCAAACGTGTCAATTCAGGAATTATTAGTAACATTTTTCTTATAACAGGCTTATACGATGTGCATAATTCTTTATTAGTAAGACCGCTAATGTATATATATATATTGACAGGAATGCGATAACACTTGAAATGTTTAATGTCTAAAGAACTTTAAACTAACACTCCTCACGGTGTTAAAGAATTGTATTTGATATTGACCAAAATCTGAAAAAAGTGATTTTAGTCTGTAAAAATGTTTTATAAACCTTGTACATGCCCTAAATATATAAATATAGGAATAAACTAAAAATAAAATAGTGTTATGAAAAAAATTAAAATAGTCAATGTAAACTTGTTATATCAGACTATGCCATCAATGCCACATCTAGTAAAAACTCAAATTCGTACATCCGTGTTTTGCTTGGTTGACTGATCAAGTTTATTATGTCTACCCACATTTTTGGTGCTGTTCTGTTTTGTTATTTTATATATGTACCTACATCTGTGCGCTCTAATTTCTAATTTTTAATCCTAGTTTTAAATATGTGTTTCTCAGTAAGTGAATTTTGTATGCAATTCTTATGAGAAATAAAGTTATTCTTAAACCGAAACCGATAAAAGAACTAAAGTCGATTTATATTAGAAGGCGTAAACACTTATCAAATTCACAGTTTTAATATTAACTTTCTATCTAATCACACCGTTGGGTATGATTAGATACTAGATAACTATGGCAAAATAATTATGAGATCATTAGGCCCCATATATGTGTTCATTTTAATTGATGTTAAATTCATTGACAAAATGAGGGAAATTTAACTCTTGACTAAAAGGGAATCTACGTTCTTGGCTAATGCACATTTTATAACAAGCATGGGGATGTAGGTATCAGTATACATCAAAGATTTTGTTAAATTTCAGTTCTATGAAAGGTTGCTTTGCACATTTTTTTCTTTAAAATAATTGAATTTGAAATTCTTCTCTCTTATTAATTACAAAACAGGTAACACCTTTTGCAAGGAAATGGCCTCATCATTAGAATTTCAAAATAAGCACACATTGTTGTGTATCTGTAATGCAAATGAAGATTTTGTATAATATATATGTTATTATTAGTATTTATGTTTGTAAATTGTGCTAAGGAATAAATTAAAATTAAATACACTGAATGGATAATTAAACTATTCAATGGAAATGTTATGAAATGAGAATGGACATATCTAATGAAACAAAACATAGACAAGTTTAAAAGGACAACTTTAGTTAGGATTAACCAATCAAATTTATAATAGAATAATCTCTTAGTCTCTTAAAGTAAAATCTTAAATATGTATATGTATTTTGGAAAAAACATATATATTTAAGCAATATTCCATCTTATTCATGCATAATAAAATTAATTGTGATTTTATGCCTTTTAAGCTTTCCAAAAATTTTAGGGGATCAACTAGTATTTGGGAATATTCATTAAATAAATCTTAAATTCTAGTAAGCTGCTACTTACAAATAAAACATTTGCATGTAGAACAGTTCAAACAATGTTTAACAAAATGGTGGAGAGATTGCTCTTATCACTTACTGGTAATTCTTTTGGAGCCTTCACACAATCAGGAAAATGAGCATGTCTCGGTAGCCAGCATGAAAGAGACATTACTCCAGCAAGTGGTTCAGAGTAGGTAAGAGCAGCATGGAGAGCTAATGCGCCACCCTGGGAAAACCCTCCCAGTAATATTCGACCAGCTGGAATACCGGCCTGAAAAATAATACAATATATCTGTATTATTTTTTTATATAAACAAATAAACAAAATATCTGTAAATATTGAACTAAAAATGTAATTGGTGAAATATTTATTCTTGAAAAATAAATCATAATAGCTTACTTTAACTTCATCAGTTATAAGTCGATGAATAAGCGTTGTTGCATTTACTATTCCTTCTTCATCTTCAGGAGCAGTAGCATCTAAAGTTCTTAAGTCAAACCAAGAAGGCATCCTGAAACCTGCATTGAGTGTCACAGGTATAGTTGATGCTGTTGGACATATAACTTTAATATGAGGTCCTCTAATGGCAGCAATTGTGCTTGCCCAGCCATGACTAAAAAAAATACCATCTCATATTATGTTCCAATATTTACAAATAATAATTATAGTATATCTATATAAGGTACATCTTACCCAGTGTCTCCAAGTCCATGTAAAAAGATAAGCTGAAAACAATATAGATGTATAATCAAATATCTTATTTTCTAGTAGCCAAAAATAACAAGAATACAAAATGCTAAGCTGACTTACAGATGCTGTTTGTTTTGCTGTAGCAGCAATAATAACTGGATTTGGTTCCATTATAAGCAAATCGAGAAAAGATCGATACGGAAGTAATGCAGGGACAATGCAGGAACGACTATTTATTATTTAATGATTATAATATACTTCAAGGGTATAGAACCAGTCTAATGTCTATACCAATTTCGCTGTTGTCTGTTGTCGACCGTCAATAGTCAATCAATACTCAATGCTTCTAAACTTATCACAGACTCAAGTAGACTGTCGAATGACTGATATAGATTATTATAATTGGGGCAGAATTTATAACTTATCGGCTTACTTTTTTTGTAGATAGTACTCACTAAAAGAAAGCGTTTTGCAAAGTTTTAAGTTGCGGAAACTTACGGTTCATGAGATACATTTATTTTTACTTTCCATACAAATGGGCAAATAACACGCCATAACATAAGAAATTTGACAAATAATTGATGTTAAACATCAATTAGACATAGACATAACATTTATTACAAACGAAAACACACACACACATAAACACACAAAATAACAATACTTAAAGAAAAAAAATGAAATAAGACATCAAAAACAATAAAAATTAAAAATTCCCTTTTGCCATTCGGTTCGCTTCCAGTGTGCAATGTGTGTGTACTGTGGTTGTAATAGGCCCTGGCTCAGTATTATGCTGAGGAGCAAAAAGTTCCAGAGCGCTGGTCATTCTGCCAGAGACCACATAAGCTAGTTTGGGCCTCTAATAAAATCAAAAGAGCTCCAGCACTAAGGCTGTGTCAGGGACTGCGCCTGATTTGTGTTCTTTCAGGTCAGCACCCGTAACACTCTCAAAAGAGCTCCAGCACTACGGCTGTGTCAGGACTGCGCCTAAATTGTGTTCTTTCAACACATCTTTCAGGTCAGCACCCGTAACACTTTCAAAAGAGCTCCAGCACTAAGGCTGTGTCAGGGACTGCGCCTGATTTGTGTCTTTCAGGTCTGCATCCGTAACACTCTCAAAAGAGCTCCAGCACTACGGCTGTGTCAGGACTGCGCCTGAATTGTGTTCTTTCAACACATCTTTCAGGTCAGCACCCGTAACACTTTCAAAAGAGCTCCAGCACTAAGGCTGTGTCAGGGATTGCGCCTGATTTGTGTTCTTTCAGGTCAGCACCCGTAACACTCTCAAAAGAGCTCCAGCACTAAGGCTGTGTCAGGGACTGCGCCTGATTTGTTTTCTTTAAGGTCAGCACCCGTAACACTCTCAAAAGAGCTCCAGCACTAAGGCTGTCAGGACTGCGCCTGATATGTGTTTAAAGAACACATCATTCGGGACAGCGCCCGTAATACTCATAAAAGAGCACCAGCACTAAGGCTGTCAGGACTGCGCCTGATATGTGTTCAAAGAACACATCATTCGGGACAGCGCCCGTAATACTCTCAAAAGAGCACCAGCACTAAGGCTGTCAGGACTGGGCCTGATATGTGGATATAAAATCAAAACATAGTTTATTTTTTAGAACTAGGCATGGGGTTCAATATTAGCTATTTACATTTAAAACAATTATATAAACAATTTCTAATTGCAACTACATATTATATGAAACTAGTTTATTTTAGTCCCATGTCAACAGTTTTATGCCAATGGTTCTTCTGGGTTGTATTTATTATATAAGTGCAATATTATTAAATTTTAAAAATGTTTTAACCATTGTGAAATGTTTGCGACTTTGTAATTTTCTTAATATAATAGCGAACCGTATTTCTTAACAAGATTAGGGGCCAACGTAAGATAGATTACTTAATTACAATCCTTTACAAGATAAAACGAACTTACTTTTATTTTGATAAGTGTAAACAAAAAATGTTTATTATTATTAAAAATAAAATAAATAATTACAAATGAGGCAATTAAAGCATTTACATTTAAGAGGGTGTACGGATTAATTACCACAGTTTTACAATAATTGTTTACTTAATATAGCGAGCTTTTATTTGGTTAAATACATATCTTTAAAAAAAATTTGTTAATTTTCACCTTACGATAGCTGTACAAAAATAAGCTCAAATAAAAAATATACACATAAATGTAAACATATGTATGTATGTGTGTGTTTTAGTATGGATATAAAGAAATATTTGATGTAATTTTCCCGGTGTTCTGTAACCTGTTTATCTATGAAATGATAAAATAAAAACGGTGTATGTATAATTTGATTGAAATAAAATTTAGAATAAATTAAACATGCCAATAACTGATAAAGAACTAATGATTTTAAAGATTGTTACTATCCGTAATGTTAATGTATATAATTTTTTTTTATTTCTAATAAATGTTTTAATGTGATATTATGTTGTATTATTATCTGCGACACGAAAGTGACCTCGTACGGTCCTACCTTGCGATTCTGTAACTCTCTTTTCGAACTCTCACAGCGGTTTTCGCAGCGGCGGACGCGCTCAAATCAGACTGATTCCAGAAGATTATGTAACTGAAAAATTGTTAACAGCCTTAAACAATTATGCCGTTCCTATTGTTTTTGGAGCTGCTCTTTACACAAGGTAAAATTTATTTTTACTCAAGTCGTGTTTGTTGTGCGGAAATCCTTTAAGGAAATGATTTATCTTATTTATTTTAACGATAGAAAGATTTAATTACGGATGCAACGTATAGTACTTAATTAAGTAATTGACTTAAAAGTTTAAAACAAAAATACCGAGTGTTAGTCAACAACATGTAAATGAGACAGAAGTTAAAATACGATTATTATTTTTTTATCCTTATACAATGTTATATAATGCTGTTTCGTCGGTGATGTTAATATTTTCATAGCAATCTATATTTTAAAATATTATGTAAGAAAACAGTTGCTTATCTAAAATCTAAATGGTCCGTTATTGTTACGAGTCGAGAAGCGATGAGTTATGAAGCGGCACGTTAAAGAAGCAGTATACCAAATTCAGGAACCCTTTAGAACCACTTCAAATGATTGGTATTGCATTGAGGTAAGAAATTTCAAATATAATAATATAAAATATATATGTTTAAATAATAATATATAAACTTAAAGCTAAAAAAAAATGTTCGTCAGTTATTCATTTATTATCTTTAAAATCAGTTTAATTTAAGTATTACTACTAGTCAACAAAGCAAAGTTATATTCTTCTTCTTGACTATCATCTATCTATCTGTAAAATTATTAACTGTAGTGTTGCTGAGACGGGCGCGTCGGGAAGCGTCGAATTCATCTGTTCGATACCCCGATGGTGATGGTGACTGGGCATTTTGTGTAGTGTGATATCCATACTGTTGCCCAGTTTGATATCCGCGTGACTCAATGGTGTTGATTGAGTCTGTTCCCCGAACCGCATTTCGGTAATGATATTTATAACTTTGCTTTGGAATGTCAAAGTCTGTAATTCCGTAAAGCCGTCCAAAGAAGGCAAAATTCCTTTGAAAAATGATAAGTGGTTTTCTGTCTCATGCAACGCTTCTAATGTTTGCGCCTCGAAATTATCTATTGCTTGGTTTGTCTCTTGCGGCTTGCAGGCACGTAGCGAGAAGGTCCTGGGGGTAACGAGGACATTTCTTGAGATGGAGAAGATGATGTTGTGTTTTTGTTTCGTTCCGTTTCATCAGGCACGTTTTCAAGACTACTGTCAGTTTTATTTTGTAAATTTTCAACAAAAATTGCAACTGATTGTAATAATGATATTTTTTAAATTGTTTTGCCCCTGATCCAGACGAACTGTTTTCTTTTAATTTTTTTACATATCGAAAAAGTTGTCCCTCACGCTTCTCCATTTTTTCACGATCTCGTTACCTGCAAAGAAAGAAAAAAAAAGAATATTAATCTATGATTGCAGATCTAAATGAGCCACCCTGTTTAATTTTTGTGTTTCTATTTCAGGTACTTGGGCAGTGGAAATTCGATAAACGACTTGCATTTCAAATTTAAACGTGGAAGATCAACAATTTCTAGAACTATTTCGTCCACAGTACATAGAAGAGATTACAGTAGAAAAACAACAAAACATTGTATTAGATTTTGATCTCAAAGCCAACTTTCCTCATTGCTTTGGGGCAATTGATGGGAAACATATACGTTTGATAAAACCGGACAAAAGTGGCTCTCTGTTTTATAATTACAAAAATTATTTTTCAATTATTTTGCTGGCGGTTGTTGACTCAAATTATAAGTTTGTTTTTGTCGACGTGGGAGCATATGGAAAGGAAAGTGATTCTACTATTTTTAGAAATTCGACGCTTTACAAGATCTTAATGAGAAATGAATTACCATTACCTGTTTCTCAAACACTTAGAAATGATTATATTAACGAACCACCAATCCCATACGTACTCGTCGGTGATGAAGCTTTTGGTTTAAGTAAGCATGTTATGCGCCCATACGGCGGACAAAATCTCAACGTGAAACAAAGGGTTTATAATTATCGCCTTAGCAGAGCTCGTAGATACGTGGAATGTGCATTTGGGATCATGGCAAATAAATGGCGCATTTTACATAGGCCAATTGATACAGTATATAATTTAACTATTAATATCGTAAAAGCATATTGTGTTTTACACAATTTTGTTACACAACATGATGGTTTACGACAACAAGACAAAATGGCAATAAGTATGTTCCCACAATTGAGACCCCACGTCAATGAAGAATCATTAGCCGTAAATTTTATCAGATATCAATTTGCTAATTACTTCATGAGTCCGGAAGGGGCTATACCATGTCAGTTGAAAAAGATATAAATTAACTTATAAAAGTTGTAAAATAACTTAAGTATTTAATCATAATAAATAACAACTCACCAATCTTGTTCTTTTTTTGGTCCTCAAATTCCTCGTAATCTTGAAATATTATTTTACAAACAGCTGCCCATTCATTCGCTTAACGAAATTTATCACTGCAGTGTTCGTGTGATTTATCCCATATAATGGGTCTTTCTTGAACCAAAGATATGATAAAATCAATATCAATCTCCTGTTCACTCATGATGTTAAAAAATGTCGTTACGCTCGTCTAGCTTCCTCCTCTGGATCACTGTCCGTCGTCGCAGCGGGCGCTTCGACAACGCAGCGCATCACCCTCCCTCCCGCTTCGTCTCTCGTCCGTCGATCCGTTGAAACATCGCGCACGATGACGCAACGTACTAATGGGGCATGTTATAAAAAATATATGAAAAATGACGCAGCGACGACGCAACGTACTAATGGGGCCTCGCTCTTATTCAACAGTAACGCCTTGTGTGCGCTTTCAAACCCTACGGTGTTAGGGGCAACATTTCTCACTGCGTAACTCCCAATGTTCCCGAAGAAATTCTCAATTGGGTCTTGGTTTAAGTTTCTTGTTAATAATGCATCTAAGCCGTATTTTTTTGTGACGACTTACCATATTTCTTCCATGCCTTCAATGGTCTTTATTAGGTTAGTTACTGACGGAATAGTGACTTCAGTAAACCTGATTTTTTAAAATTTTCGTGCCTCCCTCCACAGTTTAAAATGGGGTGAGTTTGTTTTTACTGCACCTTTATACTTTTTGCCATTTGGCACGTGAAAAGAGCTTACATTTAAGCTGTCAAAAATATTATCTAATAAAAGTGTAATGTCTATTAAATTTTTGCATTCTTCCGGCACATCACCCCTGGTAGTGAGATGATCCGCTGCCACGGCAAAGCTGTGGCTGAAGAGTTGTGTTGCCAACTTCACCCTCATTTTGTTCATTTTATCGGGCACCAAGTGTTCTTTATTGTGTGTTTATTTTATCTAACAATGCGCCTTTTGTCGGCGGCATATACTTGCTGATAATACTCCCATTTAACTCTCTTCTCTATGGTGTCAATGGTATACAGCATTTCTTTTGTCATTAAATTGTTCCTCATACCTTTTATCAAATCCTTCCAAACTGTCCTTTGACGCATTATATGTCACGTGGGCTCTCAATGACATTTCATCAAATATTAAGCTGCAGAGGCGGTCTTGTTTTTTATTCCGCAGCACAGTATGGCGGATTTTTTTGGAATACATAGGATTTATACCCATACGAATTTTCACTTGAGTGAGCAGACGCTTCATCTATTTGCTTGAAGGTAATGTAAAATATTTGTAGAGCAATCCATACTCTTTGGGACTTTTTTATAAAGTGAAAGGGCAAGCACTTTTTCATCAACGGTAAAACGTCGACCTTTCGGAGCTGAGCTCATTTGCTCATATTTTTCACCACCTCTCCAAAGGCATTGCACAATTTAGCAGCCTGGGATAGTCTGTCTTTGAAAGATTTCGCTCTCTTACGTAAGCGACAAATCTCGCTGCGCAGGTATCGAAGTACGGTATTTTTGGTTCCTACTGTAAAATAATATTCTTATGTTTGTTACATGTTCAAAACATAAAGATATAAAAAGGAAAATCACAAGTGCCATTATGACTGACTAAACTCGGGTACCATCATGATCCAATACCATCGTCAAGTGTATCAAAAATTAAAGACCATTTCAAAAATTTCACATATGTAGCTTCAAAATAAAAAGTTGATAAAACAAACAAAAATAGATTCTTTATGGTTCTATACACAATGATCGTCCACAATATTACCTGTATGAAACATAGGTACTTAAGAACTTTATGTAAAAATTAAAAACTAAACCCGACTACAAAAAGGTTGAAACAAGACCTGCTTAACCTTCAAAATATATTTACTCTTATAGATATTCGTTGTCGGAGGACCCCGGACCCCACATTCGCATTTCATAAACCATGAAGATTAATTAAATATAATATTTGAATTATAAGCTGGTCTTATTTCAACCTTTTTGTAGTCGGGTTTTAGTATTTAACTACTCTTTTATATATTATTATCATAATATATGTTATATTAACCTTTCTTGGAAGCCATCCTCGTATACCGGCTGACCATACAGTAATTGTGGTCCGTTAAGATGGACAGTAAAGCTGCATCATGCTGTGTACATATTCCACTATAACTACAAATAAACAATGAACATTAATCATGGATAGATAGATATAAAAATCTTTATTGTACAGTAAAGAATCTAAAGATACTTAAATGACATTATTTTCTTATACCAGATCCACAGACAGACAGCGTAGGCATGGTTAATGATATTACTGTTTCATGTATTTACTTACTTTTTTTTGTTTTAGAAGAGCTTAATTCTTGCTTGAGACCCTGTTGCTATCTCCAAGCACAGCAAAGTTGTCTGGAAAAAGATTTTTAACCAGATTAGCCACCATACATAACACAAATGATTTGGGTAAAATAGGTCTTCAGCTCATAATTTAGTCTGTTAAACCAAAGTGGAGTTTATTGTGGAATATAGAATGGATAATTTATGTGACGGGCCTGTGTCCAAGTCCCAACAGTGGGCCAATTCTTAGGTTGATGATGATGGTGATTCCACAAACCCACTCTCTCATCTTCAGCTCTGTAGTGTCAATGGGACGATAGACTGACCACAACTGACAAAGAGTTGAAGATGCATGACCCACAGTTTAACTAACTTATAAATAAATACTAAGAATAATATTAAGATAACAAATCATTGACAAGTATAGAACCCTATTCTATTAGAAACCTCTCTAACTAGTAATTCTGTAAGTTAAGTAATGGTTTATTGATGAAACTTACCCAACAAATGAAGTTATGGGACGGCAAGTGCATTAAGTCTCTTGTAACGGTTTCGATCCCTGTTTGTGAAATGTTTGTCACAAACTTTTCTTTTGCTGTAGTAGGTATAGTCAGACTCAGTTTCCAATTTGCCACCGACCAAGGTATTCCATGTTTTGAAACGCTCCGGAAAAATACAAAATCGCCACAACAAACTTGTATTGTAACAAACTTTTCACCACAACTATTATTTTTAAAGACGGTTACAGAATTTGATTGTGCAAGACAGTTGTTGAGTTGACAGAAAAACACGTGCACTAATTTTTTTTTAATTTATTTATTAGCCGGATACAAAGTCCATTGGCAAAAATCACGTGCACTAAAATATAATAATGTTGCCAGAATACATAAAATCTGCCAAATTTTAAGAAGTCGTCAGATTGTTATTTTTATGTATTTATGCTAATTTCCTTCGATTTTATGATAATAGTAATAAAACTGTGAAAGCTTTATAAATGTGTTTTTTGTTAATTATTGTCTTAGTGACATCTATAGGCAAATGAAATAACTACTAGGTTCTGGAGAAATATAGTAGATGGCGCCACCATATTCTTTAAAAGTCACTTAAATCTAACTGTCCCCACCCTGAGCGGTCGCGGCGAATAGAGCAGGGATTAAATAAGTGTAGTCGTTTTAGTGGCGAAAAATGAATACAGAGTTTTTTATTATTGAAATACTGGCAAGACCAGCTATTTGGAAGTCTGGCCATCCACAGCATAAATTGAATATACCTTAATCTTAATGTCAACAACAATTTTTCAGCGGCACTTAAAATTCTATTTGCATTAACTTTTTTCTCCAATTGTGGTTGAATATTGATAAGAATATAATCGAAGGTTTCTATACTCATTCTGGTATACTCAAAAAAAAATCTGGATATATTCTGTATTTCTCATACTTCTTGAGGAATTCTCCATCTAAACCTTCGATTCCGAATCTTATTTAAATCATGTACTCCACAATCTCTTCCAAATATATAGTCTTGAACTAAAAGCTATTACTTTCCAAGCAATATCGAGATGATTTCGATAAAGACATTTCGATGTCGAACTTCCTTACTGGTCGCAGTGGCGAACGTGACTGGTGCGTGGCCTGCAAACGGCGCCGCGTGAATGGTCGCCTCGCCTCCCGCTTCGCCGATATTAAGGATTGATAGTCTGTGGTAAATTCATCCCATTTATTTATGTTTAAGGAATTGTCATTCATCATCATATTTTGGTAATATAGGGGTCAAATTAGTTGAAAACCGTTGTATGGTTTATTTTATTGACCAATATTAATGGATCTGCAAATTAACGACTATTTGTTAGTCTGTAGTCTTTATAATTAATATTGAAGTAATTGTGTTAGTGTCAGCTGTCATTGTCATTGTCATTTAATAATGTCAAAGTCGAATTGGTTCGAGGCCGTTAATACGAATAGTTTATTTAATTTGTGAATGTTGCTAAATCTATAAATTAACGGCTATTCAATGGTCGATAATCATAATGACTCCATAGTCATTATTATTATTAATGAAAGTAGTATATTATCATATCACTTTAAACATTTAAAACTTATTGATAATAAATATTAAAGAAATCTTTGACACTCGTTTCTATGTCTGCCGTTTGACTCTGTGGTCGATTCGGGTTCGGTCGTTGAACGAGTACACGAAATTTCACGAAACTTGTTTATTACAAATTCATCAAGCAGAAATCATAGTGGGTGGTTTCAGAATCATGGTGGTAGGCCACAGTCTGCCACGGGCTCTGTTGTTGCTCGGACGTTGACAAGAAATGTGGCTGGTGTCGAGGCCGCATACTGTGAGTTCCTTCTGTGTTATTTTTATTCGGTGGTTTTTGTGTAATTGTTTTAAGGTTAACGGTTGTTTTTAAAATACCCAAAGTCGTGTTGTTTTGATTGTATAAGTTAATTTTAAGGTAGATTTAGTGTGATTTCGAGAAGAAGATCAGAAGTGGGATAGGATTTCGCTCACAAATAAGCCTTTTAAACAACCGTTAATTTTAGAATAAGTTGCCACGTGCTTCCCGTGAACGGTCAATTTGGACGCCGTCACCTCGCTCTCATATTGAGGGTAGCCGTCAAAAGCTGTTTCCAATGTGTTATTTCCTTATGTTAAGGATGCGCGCGTGATATGTTGGCTTGCGTTCGGTGTGAGGCAAGTGTGTGCCTTGCTGGTTGTAACGGACTGCCAATGTGGTGCGGTCATTCTGTGTTCCTCAGGCCAGCAACCTTGAGAAGCGGGCCTCGGCAGACGTGCATCCTGTGCGCGTGGCGGGCGCTGTCCCGGAAGATGTGTTCTTTGAACACATCAGGCGCAGTCCTGGTTCACGTTACTAACGTGGGAACTTGTTCAAGTATGAGAATATGTGGGATGTTTTGTGAGATGATGTATGCATACTTTTGAAAGTGAAGTGTTTTAACTAAAGTTGTGGTAGTGTGATTTTGTATGAGGGCCTTGGATGCGTGATGTATAGACTAGGCACTAACGAAATGTCGTCGTGATTAACTAACAGGATAACTTTTGCACAGATTGCGATGACGTTGGTGAGCCTTCAGCTGCGTGTACTGATCCTTCTGCTTCCTCAAGAACACACGAACCACACATTGGTGACCATGGCGAGCAAGATGCAGTTCTCCCGAAGAAGAGATCACCAGTGCATCCGAGGACGGTACATGGTCAGGAGAGGCCATATAAGTATGTATGTATGTATTTTTTTTTTTAAACTATTAATTTTTATTTAATTTTTATTGTGAAACTTATGTTTACAGGCAAGTGTGTGCCTTGCTGTTTGAAACGGACTGCCAATGTAGTGCGGTCATGGTGTGTTCCTGAGGCCAGCAACCTTGAGAAGCGGGCCTCGGCAGACGTGCATCCTGTGCGCGCGTGGCCGGCGCTGCCCGGAAGATGTGTTTTTTGAACACATATCAGGCGCAGTCCTGCTTCACGTTGCTTACGTGGGAATTTTTACAAGTTCAAGTATGAGAATGTGTGAGATGTTTTGTGAGATAATGTATGCATTACTTTTGAAAGTTAAGTGTTTTAACTAAAGTTGTGGTAGTGTGATTTTGTATGAGGGCCTTGGATGCGTGATGTATGATAGACTAGGCACTAACGTAATTTCATCGTTATTAACTAACAGGATAACTATTGCACAGATTGCGATGACGATAACCCTGATGACGTTGGTGAGCCTTCAGCTGCGTGTACTGATCCTTCTGCTTCCTCAAGAACACACGAACCACATATTGGTGACTATGGCGAGCAAGATGCCGTTCTCCTGAAGAAGAGATCACCAGTGCATCCGAGGACGGTGCACGGTAAGGAAAAGCCGTATAAGTATGAATGTAAGTATTTTAATTGTATTTTTTTTAAATATTAATTTCT